ACAAGGCCTAAAAACATATTTGCAAAACGATGTCATGCCTGTCTGAGCTTTTACTCAGTCATATCGATCACTGTTTTGACAGACACAACTGTCAACTACCGCCTGATGTGTCCACGTTGGGGCTACATCTGGTTACGACCAGAAAGAGTCGAGGTTTCGAGAACGCTTAACCCTGTGGTAATTATACGAACCAAGTGCTTGAAGATCCAACAACTCTGTCTTCTGAACACTAAGTTTCGCGTGATTCTCAGTGTAAACAGCGACTATTTCCTCACACGGCGTTAACCGTCACAGCTTACACGACACGACACGTCACTCAGCCACATTACTAATTTCTGGAAACCACATGGGAGGGTTTCGTCAGTCTGCGGCAAATGTTTACTTTGAGGAGGCGGGGTGGGCGGGCCCACAGGAGCGTCGTTTTGTGAAAACCAGTTTGCAGGCTAACAGTAGCACGCAACCCAACACCGGCAAGAAACAGCGCAATGAGACCAAAAGTGGCGAACCTCAATTTCCGGTATGTACCGAAAATGCAGTCTACTTCGCCAGTACGTTCAAGTAAAGCCTCAAATACCAAATTTAATCAAAATCCGTTAATCCTGTCACGTGTAATAACATTAATAGTTTTCTGCTATTATTTCCTGCAAAATGAGTTTACATTTACAGTAAACATTTCACGTCTCAAACTTTTAATACCACGAAAATGGTATTGTAAAAAAAAAAATATATAGGTTCAGAACGATATAAACAATAATAGAACGAAGGCGAGGCACGTAGAAGGCACACGTTTGTCACGAACAGCGTCGCACATGGTCAGCCATGGCCCACTGTGTTCGTTCCCATAACCTGCGTCCTCCAGGGGGCCTTGGAGCTCGGCAGAACAAAGGAGGGGGTCAAAGGCCCCTGAATTGAAACATTCGATGGCTGCCTCACATATCGACGAATCAATCCGATTAACGAGCGGACGCGTTGAGGAAACGTTAAGTCTGAACGATGCTAGAGCACCCTGGACACATCGCCTCCTGAAAAACGCTCGGACAGATCCTTACAATAGGCCACGACCTTCGACATGCTCCTCACTTCACACGAGAGAGGGAGTGACTGAAATAGAACAAGCGAAACAGCACGCACGAAGTCCGTTTGCGCGGTACAAAGGGTTCAGACTACGCGGAGTGTAAAGCAGGGGTCTGCGGATCGCAGCCCGTGTTCACACAAAGGAATACGGCGAGGGTCAAACCAAGGACGCCGATGACGAGCACAAAATACAAAGACAGGCAAAAGTAGCAGCGAGACGAAAAAAAGTCGGGACTCAGGACAAACGAAATTAGAAACAAAGACCAGGCCACCGCGTACATTCGGAAGTCGCACGCAACGACGAGTCAGAGAATGAGAAATTATTCCCACTGACTGAAGACAATGACATTCGGGGTGGTGATTGGTGTTGAGGTGCCAGTCGGCCTGCCTGTCTATCCCTGGTGTAAACGCATCTCACACGTCATCCAGGATAATCGACGATTATACGAAACTGGTCTGGGTATTACACGTAATCTCCAGTTATTATTAATAACAAGTGGATTAATCACTGTTACCATAACACACAGACTGAATAACAAATGCCTACTAATCGGACTTAACATTCTTCTCTCCGAATCGTATTCCGAGGCTGATCGCTCGGAACCTCCCAGGACCTCGACTGCCTCTAATCGACCTACGGTCTGTAATGGAGTTTCCAAACTTTTAGCCCGAAAGTAACACGACCTGAACGCGTCCCTGCAAAACACAAATAGTCAAAAATGTTTCAAATTAAAGTAAGCTTCGTTTCGCATCGGCTGTTTCTAAAAGAAGCTGATTGATTAGTGGAGATCTGTGGGTTTTTGTGCACCAAAATCCGCCCTACAAATTTAACAGGAATTCCATTACTTTCAAGTTAGGTTAGGTTAGGTTTGTTCGTCGAGACACTTCTCTCGATTGTACGTTCATTTTATGACGGTGCAAAGAGGAGACTGGCTTCGACCCCCGTCTCAAACCCCACTGGGCCCGCAGTCAGTGGCCACTGCCGTCAAAATCGGAGACTTTAGGGGAAACACCAACTCCCCTTCATTTGGTTTCCATGTTTTTCGTGTGATTCTACGCTTAAACGGCGTTAACCACTCGATCTTCGTAATGGTGAGGTGTGGTGTTTTCTTCGCGGTACGGACTGGATTCTTAAATGTTGTTTAGACGAACTTCGGGCTTCAGAGAGTTAATTAATGCGCCCGTGGTTTCTGGTGAACTGGCGACGAATTAAAATACATAAACGGAGAGGGCCGGACAACGCGAGGCAGGCGGCAAGTTCAAGGACGAACTTTGCTCCAGCGGTTCTGGGGCTTGCGATGGGGCATCGCCACATTTACTTCGTAACCTCCACCACAAAATCCACTTCAATTCAGTTCATATCTTCACAACCTGTGGCACGCGAACCTACTGATGCCGGTCCGCATATTCTTGCCTTTCTGCATTCAAAACTCTTATTTACTCAGCTGCTTGTTGTATTTTCCGCTTATGTAAACTCCGAATGTTCACCGCCGTGTTTGCAAAAGCCTTCCACTGAAAGTTTTACCTCAACGCACGGTACGTTAAAAATATTTAAAAAAAAAATCTGTACGCGTGTTACATGTCCAGCCCATCTGAACCTCCCTATTTTAATCACTCTAATAATATTAGTAGATTTTACATTCTTCTCCCACTACCAAGTCAATATTAGATTCGTTACTATTCTAAATATTCCGCGTTCTTGTCATCCTTTGTAAGCAAACAACGCCAGACACTGTAATCCGCTACACGTGTCGGTTCCGACTGGACGCAAGCTGTCCAATAATTCATATACAGAGAAACCACTTCTATTATTGCAGGTTTCTATGGCAACTTACACTCCCAATTGGCCAACAGGTATTTCGGTTTGAAATTCCCAAAGATTATATAACTCGTAACTATTAGCTCGTTAACAACACAGAGTAAAATGTTAAGAAACGGATTATCTCGCTCGTAACAATTATGACATCAACGTGAGTTCGCAATGGAAGCAGCACATTCCATATTACACACGGCCAAAACAACCTCTCATCGCCATTTGTAGCGAAGAAGTTATCTAGACGTCAACCCCTGCAAAGATGCGTTCAGACAACAAGCGTTACAAACGTGACGGAGAAGTTGCCGATGCAGAAAGGCGGAAAGAGAAAAAACCTCGCATTTCGCAACAAACTGTGATCGTTTTAGTAGACATTAAAAAGGTAACTATCGATTCATATTTATGGCCATGCATAATTCTGAATCCCCTTTTCGTGAGGCGAAATTCTGTGGTGTGACGTCATGTCTTTGGTATATATAGGCGTGCCGCGGGAAAAAGACAGATTGCGGAAGCCTGTTCTAGAAGGCCGGTCCGTCCATCGCACCCTCTTTATCCAGCAAATGCAATCTCCCATGACACGAAGATTTTCATTTTACCAAGTGAACAGTGCGCAAACGCCGAATGTGAATTTTTCATATCTAATCGATTTCAACTCAAATTTGGATGGGCTCGGCGGCTCTGAAAATATCTTCCAGCACTTGGTACGGGCAAGCGATGGACGAAGAAACACGCGGCTAACCAGAGGGGGCCCCCAACGTCACGACTCTCCGCACAACAGCTTCTGCTTCAAGAACCAACATTCGCTGGGGCCGCTCAAGATGTTATCCATCCTGAACGTGGTCCAGCCGACATTCCGCGAATCACAGCCAACTAGTTCCTACGTGTTCTGCGTTGGCCAGACTGAATTCCAGAAGGCGCTGGAATGAGGAACCAACATGGCGGCGAGTTGCCAAGGGCCTGCTGCAGACGACTGGCGGATATTTCTCGAGTACCCTACACATGATATGGCGTGGTCGCTCAAAAACAAGTCGCGCGTATCCTTGCTGTCAACTGTCAGTGGTTTGCCTTTTGCGTCACCTTAAGGTTAAGTTTCCGTGTTCAGCGCAAAATCTACCACTCCCTCCCGCCAAGATACTTCCCGGTTTGACGGTCCGGCAACCTTTAGTCGCGACCAGAAATAACTTTTTAAGACTCAGGCCTCAAGAACGGAAATTCAATGAGCACGCCCAGCACTTTGAGGCTACAACCTCGTGTCGCACAGCTGTCGGTAGCGCCTCGCCTTTCTTAAGCCTGGCGGTCCATTGCCGCTTTCACAAAATCCCATTTGACAGTTCCCAAGCGACTTTAATTCTGTCGACACTATTTTTTTCAAAGACACACTTTAATATTATCCTCCTCCACAAGATTTCGCTTCCTCAGGTAGTCAGTCTCTTCCCTTCAAGTTTTCCGACGAAAAAATCTGCAATTTTCACCTTCCCTGTGCTACATGCCCCGCCCATCTTAAATTCAGTAATATCGTCAGAGCACAAGTTCCATTGCTCTCTCCTCCAGCCATTAAAAAGTGAGAGAGAGTGAGAGAGAAAGAAATGCATTTCATTCACGTAACTCAGTACTCCGACAACAGATGGCAGGAGACGGCGAAATGTTCTGCGTGTCCGAATTTTCGCAACAGCTGTGACTAGTCACGACGAATTCGCCGACTTCCGGTTACCCTGACCTGACCCCTCTAAATCGCATTAACTGCGGCACGGCTTTACTAGGACAAATGCGGAAAATTGGCGTCTGTGCCAACGGCTGAGGCTTAAAAAAAAAGATGGACCAATTTTCATGACGAGGAAGCATTAGAAAACCCATTGGGAAAAGATCACTCGGGAAGAACAAGGTGTGGATGGGAGTGAAATATTCAAATTTATCTTAAACTGAACATGACGGTGTGGACCGGATTCCATAAAATACGTGGAACTCCTTGACTAGCTGAGCGACTGTTAGCTTCTCAAGAAGGCCTGTGTTAACGCTGGCATTCAGTCTTTTTCTGTAAAAGACACGCGGGGCTGTCGTCAAGGTGACGCGGCCTTGCGAACAACGAAACAGAATCAAGGTCACGAGGTCCTACCTTCACTTCCCGTCGCCTGTGCCTCTTCTTCGCGCTGGGGTCCTGGCTTTGACTCCAGGTCGACGTCCACGAAGTCCTTGGTGTCGCCTTCCTTGTCCCCCGGGTCCTCGGCCGAAACGACAGCCACGCCTGGCACCCTGGAACAAGACGCCCTGACGACTCAGGAAGTGTTCCTTGCTTGCTTCAACACGCGAAGTGTTGACGAAGGAGGGCATTTAAGTGGTCCGATGCTTCAGAGGTGTTTACTGCCTCCGTCAGCGTCTCAACTCACCCCTGATTGGCCGAATCCTCCTCCTCATCTTCTCCGATGGTCGCCAGATGGCTGGTCGCCGCCCAGCATCGGAATGGGAAGAAGGTGGCGTCGGATGCGGTCAGTAGCGCCCCGGTGGCAGGCTGAAACACTGTGCCACCCTGTTCCAGGAGCTCAGTTTCCGGCAGGTCCATCAGGAAGTCCTCTTCGTCCGAGTCAGAATGAAGGAATTGCCTCTGGGGCACAGCCACCACGAAAGCGTCTGTCGGTACTTCAACACCATCCCCCTGAACACAGAGCAGCTCTGAGCTAACTGCTCCGTCCTGCGAGTCTGTTTCCACGGGCCCGTTTCCTTTCCTTCTTTCGGACGCTGTCCCGGAACTCTCGCACTCGACAGGACAGAGCTCTGGACTGCCCGCTTCAGGTGCCTCGGCTTTGCTTTCAGATACTGGAGGACAGTTCTTCACGTTCTCACCTTCAGTCACCACCGGCGCGCATTCCTTATTTTCAACAACAACAACAAGGCTGTTCTCTAGATCACTAGCTCCCGCGTGGCCGCTCTCCACACCGTCACCTGCTACAGGACTGATTTCTGCACATTTAGTCTCCTCATCACGAGGAATACCGGAAGAGTCCTCCTCGTTATCGATTGCAAAAGGCCCCCCAGAGCCATTTTCGACATTTCTGGACAAGACGAGGCTGTTCTCTGCATCTCGGACCATCAAAGCCATGTTTTCCTTACCGTCCCTCGGTACAGGCCCATCAGCCTCCAAGAAACTGATTTCTGTACCATTTTCCACCGGAGAACTACTTTGAAGGCTTTTGGCCTCTATCGGATTGTTTTGATTATTTTTAATCGCCACGCGACAATCTTCCGGACTGCATTCCGTGACTCCATTCTCCACAGGCCTGTTTCCTTTTAAGCCTGTGTCCGATTTCTCATTTTCCTCTGCACCTGTTTCAACATTTCTGCTGCCATCAGTACGTTCATTCTTACTCTTACCTCCGTCCTCCCCCACGAGAGTCGCCCCAAGTGCTTCTTCCACACTCCTGTCCTCCGGCCTCTGCCCTCCATCTTCGCTGCCCACTGTTCCTACGGGGTCCTTTTCCTCATTCTCTGTTGCTGGAAGCCTCTTATCCGCACTGTCTGCTCCGCCGTTCGTCACTGGAGATGCTGCTTTTTGAATCTGCATTTCTACAGATCTGCATTCTTCATTTCCTGTACCTAAGAATGTGCTTTCTTGAAAATCCAGCAAAACCTCGCCGTCTCCAGGAGGTCTCTCTGTCCCTACAAACCCAGTTTCTTCCTCGTCTCCTGCCGAGATGCGTCCGTCGCCTTCCACCTCCTCCAGCCTCACCATCGTTCGAGGAGGTGCCTCTTCCTTGCCGCCCCCGTTCTGCGTCGCTGCGGGCAAAGCAGTGCCCTGCACCACCTCCTCCGCCTCCAAGAAGGCTTTGGGGACGACGTCCACGAGGCGCGGTAAGTCGCCCCTGTCCGTCTCCACTACAGCTATGGTCTGCACATTCAGGGGGCACTGGGGGCGGTCGTTCCTGGGAGGCGGTGGAGGCGGCGGCCGTTTCTTACCGGACCTGAACCTCGCCTGCACGTCCTTGCGAGGGGCGGGTTTCGGCGGCAGCACCTTCTCGTCGCTGTAACTCAGCGGCGCGTCCTGGAAGCTGAGGGGGGGCTGCAGCGTGTCCTCCTCCAGCTGGTCGAAGGGGCCTAGCACCGTGGAGATGCTGCTCCCTGTGTCGTCACTGCCCGTGTCCGTGAGGCAGCTCAGCTCCTCCTGCGCCAGAAGATCCAGGTACACCTCGGGCTCTGGTGGCGCGTCGGCGAAGGCGGTGGGGGGGCCGAGGGT